CGGGACCGTCCTGCCTGACCCCCGAGCTCCTGGTCCAGGAGGCTCGCCCCCGGCCCCTCCCCCGCTGTTCCCCCTCGCCTGCAGCCTCAGCTCACTCGCTCCGCCACCAGCGCAATGCTCTGAGTGGCAGGGCTGTGAGCTCCTGGGGCAGCGCAGCTGCAGAGCCCAGCCTGACCCAGTGCTCTGTGCTGCGTGGTGGCAGCTGTAGCGCCGCCAGCCACCAGTGCTCAAGCCAGTGCGGTAATAGGGCAGGGAGTGGGGGGTGGGTTTGGATAGAGGGCAGGGGAGTTCGGGGTGGTGGTCAGGGGACGGGGGTGTGGATGGTGGTTGGGGGGAAACAGGGGGTTGAATGGGGGCAGGAGTCCCAGGGGGCAGTCAGGAAGGACGGGAGGTTGATGGGGTGGCAGGAGGCAGTCAGAGGCAGGGGTTCTGGGGGCAGTCAGGGGACAGGGAGAAAGGGTGGTTGGATGGGGCAGGGGTCCCGGGGGGGCTGTCAGGGAATGAGGGGGTTGGATGGGGCAGAAGTCCCGGGGGGGTGGAGGGGAGATAGGAAATGAGGGCCGCGCCACAACCCCCACCCCTAACCGACCCTCCATACAATTTACGAAACCCGATGCGGCCCTCAGGCCAAAAAGTTTGCCTAAGCCTGCCTTAGAACAATGTACATACATTGTCTTGCAGTGCCTTGCACATACTCTGTTATACTACTGTGGTGCTGAAATTTAACACAGGTGAGTCATTTGGCTATCTACACAGGGATTTCCAACCAGCACTCTAATGTATAGCTTTGTATATTTATGTCTCTTCTAGGATTTGGTCTGTTCTGGAAATACTCCTCACCTGTCATATCTGAGAAACTGACTGGCTCTTACCCATAGAAGTACCTGATCCTTGAAGGGTGATCAATCGCAGAGGTCAGCATGCAATCCCCATTAAGCCATCTAACTGTGCAATATGCCATGGATTTTTTTTCTCCCTGATCTTAATGGGGATAGGGTAGATGGAGATCATATGTCCTGAAGAACGAGTATGGAATGTCCTTATAATTTTATACTAGCTAGTATTAATTCTGTTGTTATTCTTGTTCTTATACATGTCTAATCCTTCACTGAAATTTCCTATGCTATTTGCCTCAATAATATCCTATAGCAGTTACAGACATGCAAATAAGAACTGTAAATATGTTTCATTATGGAACAAATGAATCTTGGATACAAAGGCCAAAGTGTCAGACTTGTAATTTTATTGAGAGGCTAGAATACAAAAGACACCCTCAAGAACCAAACTCTTAGTCATAGTAAGGAATCACTTAGATGACAGTGTTCCCAGTTGCAGTGCTCCATAGGACACTGAATATGAAAGGCTAGTCTGTTATGACAGGCAGCTACAATTCTCACACAAGAATCAGATATTTTGAAAACTCTCTCATATTTTCAGAGCAATTTGCAGCAGTGAGCTCCTCTTGGATTCTCATCGTGATAACAGTAGTTCTGAATAACCAACACACATTCTGGCTGTTCTTGCTACTGTAAATCACCATGGGCCACACACCACATAATTGTAATCTTTGGCTGATCAAAAAAATTCTATGGCAGAAAAGATTCAGTCCCTCAGTCACACTCACACAGGAATGCATGATTAAAAGAGCAAAATTTCTCTTTCAAATGGACACATTACGATTATTTGTATTACAGCAACATCTTAGGGCTCAAGCAGAATTGGAACCACATGGTGCTAGGCACTGTACATACAGACAGAAAGAGACAATCCTGCCAGAGAGAGCTTCGAAGCTTGACGAAAGCTGGAAGGGGAGACAGTGGCATAGCAAGGTGAAATGGCATG